GTCCTAACGTTCGTCCTTCAGTGATTTCAAAGAGAAATGCTAAGATTTTCATCTTTTATATGGTCTTTTTAGCTTCTCTGCCAATAGTATTCACACAGTTGTAATATAATTTCACTTATCTTAATAGGAGGTATGCCAGGAGCAGCACATGGAGAAGTTTTAATTTAACATTGTGGACAAGCTATTCGGTGAATACTGCTTTATCTTGTTATGTTTTTAAGCCCCATGATTTATATTCGAGAAAATTGTGGATGATAGAGGCGAATGTGCTCTTCATCTTTTTGACTTTGTTTATCTAAGATAATCCATGGTAGGTTTTATGCAGAATCACCACGCTCTACCTGACTGCCGATGTGCATTTCCGATATTACTGAGGCAAACAAGTTGGAGTTGACACAATAGGTGTGCCGAATATTACTGGTTTTCTCTGGGCATGTCTCCCCGGTTTTTTCTGGGCATGTCTACTGCTGGAGCGCGCAGCCTGTTCAAGGTTCTTGCGATCTCGAAAATCGTCCTTTTCAGGACTTTCCTCGTGGTGGGTTTTCAAGTTTTCCACATAATTCAGCCCTGCAGATCTCGACATTTCGTTGCGCCATTCTTATCATTTTGTTTATAACACAGGTCTATGCGTTTGCAAGCCGACTGGATCTAAAAGAAGGCAAAAGAATCAATGGACGGAATTATTCATTTACAACGGTTTCACAAATGAATTTCATCCACATGGATTGCCATATAACGGCTATCAGGTACCTACAACATTCATTTTAAACGGGGAATTGTAATGTGTAGTTAGTGCCGCCAGGACCATTCTCAGAAATGGTTTGAAATAGGATCTGGAAAAGTAGTCTGATTTACCCTGATTTTCTCTGGTAAGTTGATGCCGGCATGCCTCCTATGGTGTGAGATGAAAACAGCAGTTTTTGTAGGTCAAAAATTACGGGGCTGAGCATTACTTTTGCTGAATTTCTCACTGTAAATCTCACTACTTCACTCCCAAAAAATCTGTAGCTTTTGTGAGCCAGTTCTACTTAAAAATAGTGGCTGTTCTGTCTATCAGCGAGTTAAGCTTTCGGTTGTTACATGTCTAATCTAGACATAGATCGACTCGTTGGAGAGACCTCAATATTGCACAATTTGGATATTAGGTATGAGAATTTTAGTTTTGTTAAAACAGAACAACCTTCCACTTATTGATTAAACCTGTTTTGCCCTTTTTTTTGGTTTGAAAGACGCTAAAATCTCAGAAATTTTAATTATTGTTCAGAATGGCTGGTTCTCGTGATGAATGGGCAAGCGCATCGCTGCATAATGCCAACACAAAATGTAATGTCATTGTACCATTGTGGTCAACAAAAGTAAAAGATTCCGATATGGAGCGCTCATTCCAGAGGTAAAGCATACATGGAAGTCTAATTTTTGTACTATGTTTTGGCAAAGAATTTTATTTGTGGGCTGGAATGAAAATATAAGTGCGTGGTTTTGATGTAGGTTTAGGTTGGAATCGATTTTTTGACAAATACTGTGTTTTCTGCGATATTAAATTCAGTTTGGGCAGATGACGAACGGGGAAAGATTAAAACTAGGGCTGAAACGAGCAGAACTGTTTGTTTTTTGATCCGAATAACAAAAGTAATATCTAAATAGCACTAGAGCACAGGGAAGTCAAAACATGTAATTTTAAGGGAGAAATGTTCTGCTCTTTTGACCGAATTTTTGTTCTTACCTTAACTTTTCTGCCGAAGCTGCCTGAGTTCGGCTGTTGTATCTCTTTTATTATGCGTTTTTTGCAGCAATGCAATGCGAAAAATGCATATTGACGAGAGGTTGTCTGTGTGT